AAGACAAATCATTGAGAAAGGCTTGATGGGCTGTCGACTCGTGCGGGCTTCCAAGTGTAGGTCGGTTGTGGGACGAGGTAGGTAGGAAAAAGTGACTGTTGTATACACAACGGTGGAACCTAGCAATGTGAATAGGAGCGCTGAACCTTATCTGCCGGGCATGCTGGAGGATTTCGCCGGCGCGGGAGCCGGAGTGGTCCCGAAAAAAGGGATGGACATCGAAAATGTTCAAAGCCCATTCATTCCTCGCACGGAAGGTGATGGTTCGATGAAGCCGCGGGAACAGGGCGGCATATAATCTGGTGGAAACCAAACTCAAGGACCGAACGCTGTGCTGTGGCAGCTGGCATGCAGTTAGCAGTTGGCCAAACCCAGATAGTATATCTACAGTACCATATCAGCGATGGCATCAATAATCTCAAATGGTAATAGACACAACATATTGGAAGTAGCGCGAGAGGGCTGCACAGCTCTATCAAATGGCAGCTACTGCCTAGGAGTCCGCGTTCTACATTCACAAGCTTTTGTATTACGATCAAAAATTCTGTAGAGCCTCGTAATTTTGACCGGTCTGCGATACCTCCTAAGTTTACTGTTTACTTAGGCCGTTGACTCGAGAACTGAATGCCAGGTTCCGTCGGTTGGTCGCCCATCTGTTCCGTGGTTTACCTGGAACCATCCAGCACACAGCACGATACCCCAGCTCTAGCGCTGGGTGCAGTTGCGAAGATAATTATCTAGCGGGAATATCCGCCCATGAAAAGAAAAAACCGGTCAAAGATGCGTGAAGGTGGTTAATGAGCCCTGGTCTGGTCTTGTTTCGGGATTTATACGCCGACCACAGTCATATACGCCACCTAGCCCGGTCCTCCAAGGAATAGGTGAAATGCGGAGATTGTGCGAACCGACACAACCAGCGCCGTTACTTTCCACGAATATGGCGACATAGCCAGCTACCTCAAGAGCGCCCCACCAATACGTCGCAACTCGAAGCAGTGGCAATGTGACCAACTAAAAATATCTAAAACCTCGATAGGCGGAGCGATGTGATGCACAGAGGGGGGTGTCCAAGGGTCAAGAATGCGGTTATATCTATGAATCTCGGACAATTCTTGATCCATCTAGGGATATCTTACTCCCTTTTTACCCAATCTATAACTACTGAGGGGTTTGGCAACTGCATGCTTCTGCGCTCCCAACGACCGCACTCACGACACTCAATTGTCCCGGACCCTCCATAGCTGGTCACCAACTAGAGTGTCCGATACTCCGTTAATCACCCCCCGGTTATGAAGTATGGGTATTTAGAAAAGCAGGGTATGTTATTTACCTGAGTTATATCCCTTGCAGAACCGCCAAATTTTGCGACCTGCGGGTATCAGTCAATCAGGGAGAAAGCCCAAAACCCATACCCGTGATTTGGGCGATCTAAACACCTCAACCGAATCTAGGAAGAATCACACACAACGACACATTTACCGCCATCTACTAAGACAAGGTATCACGGAAAGCCATAGGCGGTCAATTGATTGGCGATGTAAAAATTTACGTTGGTGGTCTTATCTGTTCTTCGACTGAAATGCACGCCAGATGGTCAATATTTTGGCGGTATATGACGGATGGATCCCGAAACCCTTGCACCTGAGTAAGTGTAAGCTATACTATAACGTACCAGTCACCCATAATACAATGCATATTATAAAAGGAATAAAGCCCCAAATTGTGTGGTGAATGATGTAGTTGCCGGTGATTGACGATCAGGTAAGGGCGTTTGTTTCAAGTAACCATAGTGGATGTTCAAGCAAACAGGTGTGCGGAAGGTAAAGACCAGGAGATCTCATGCCACAAAATTTTTGACGGGTCAATTGCTGAAAGGACCATCACATCTCAGCGGACATCACCGTAATATAGAAGATACTGATGATTATTGACCTAGAGGAATATATAGCAGCCAGCCCCGAGATCATCTTTAACTATTCAGACTCTCGAACTCTTTTATCACCACTCTTACATTGTCCGAGTGCGCAGAGCCGCCTTCCCAAAATGGACTCGTCTGTAAGTTATTTGCTATCACTTAATGAGTGTTCTAACAGTGGGTCAGAATGCGTGGCGTATTGTTGCTGAGATAAGTGCACAAGCGCTTCAAATGGATCGTGATCAGCAAACGGAAAAACACAAGTGTCATGTATTACGTGAGACGTTGAAGAAAACCACTGCTGAGCGGGACGAGGCAGTCCAATTGGCAGATGTCTTATATGAGACAAACCAGCAGATGGGCGCGGTTATAGACCACTTTTTGCAGGAGCGTGCAAACGACGGGCGCGAGTCGGAGTCGTTCGAGGTCATATTAACCCATGTTCTGCGCCAACGGGACAGATCTGAAAATGGAAACAGACCACGGAGCTCTATCGCTACTGGGGAGGAGAAGAGCAACAAAACCGCTATTGAAGAGAATGCTGGCCCCGTTGAAGCAGACACACAAGTTGCAGGCAGATGAACGGGGGGGTTCCACATCGAAACGGAATTTTGTACTTTCGATCGAGGTAGTAAAGATATCTTCCATAACATCTTCAGACAGTATAACGTGAAAATGCCTTTTGCGAGCCGAGCAAGAAGAAACAAAGATCTTTCACGAACCTAAAGTCAGACTCAACAGATGCACCATGAGCTCGATCTCTCCGGATCCTTCTCATATACCAGTCGTAGGGCAGTCGGGAACTAGGTAGAATAGGCGGGATTGAATATTATGGGTACAATAGTATATCCCCTCGAATATCTCATGATATATTGTCAGCTACCAGCAGCTAAATGTACCAGACCAAATCTAGACCCGCCATCTCACCCTACCCATCCGGCGAGTGTAGGATAACTTCGAGAGCATCACCTTCCTCGTGGACAATCTCAAGACATCATTGTGTCGCGAAGTTTTAATTTCTTCAACCGACGCTCCCACCAATTGCGTCTTCTCACCCAAGGCCTGGACGTCAGACACGCTCATGTGCGGAGCCCGTAGTCGTCAATCAGTTGAAATCATCCGCAAGATCGCTTTGATCTCGGCGCTTCATATCAGCCGTTCCTCCCCCCAAGACAGGTCCATCATATAAAGCCGTGACGATGGCCATGAGCTCATTGCCCTTGGTTATGGTTGCTTCGAGCCATCGGAAGGACGTTTGCGTGACCGGGTAGGCGGTGATGAGCAGCACATCCCCGGGACTGGCGCGTGCATGGTAAGACGAGCTGACCCGGCGAATAGTACCTTGGTCGGGCAGTGCGGCGAAGATACGATGGCAGAGCAACTCGATCAGCAACCAGTTCTTAGTCACCCGAGAGTCGTGTGGCAGAACAGCTATGGCTTGAATGCGGAAGGGTGAAGGCGAGTAGAACGTGAGGGTCCGCAGGAGCCGTTCTTCCAGTTCCGCAGACGGGTAGCTTATGTCGAATGAAGCATTCGTCTCGTCGGAGGGCGACGATGTACAGCACGGACAGAACGGAGAGAATGATTCCGGCGAGGCTCCATCCGCTGGAGGATTCGTGTCTGAGGTAACTGGCAGGGTGATTGGGGTGGTCGGTCGACGCTGTCCAGAGTACGACATCTCGCTTGCCTGCTAATGCGATGGGGCGTATCAGGAAAGTAAAGATGATAAGACGAGCTTGCTGGAAAGGAATAACATGACATCCATTCTATGTTGTGAAACCATAACGAACGCCTTGTGTCAAGGCAGCAAGCGACGCAGAAGAAGTAGGCGGGTATATAAGACAAGGCTATGGGTTGTACAAGGTCAACGGTTGACAAAGTTATTGAGATAGCATATTAGTCGCCTACCTCTTTTAATCCTGGGGGAAGTGGGTATTGGCATTGTTCGTGTGGACAACGAGGGTTAATATCGACCAGACATTCTCGTTAACGAATATAATTATCAAACGATCTGTGAAGGGCAACTTTACTGGTATATTAAACATTCCGCTACAGATAAGGTCTGGCAAATTGCCAACGTAGGACAACGGGTAAGATCTAGTTCAGTTATGACGGAGGGTTGTTCTGAGCAGTTCAACTTGTTCGATTTTCTTGCACAAACCACTACTGTACCCCAGGACTAGACCAGGGCACAATCAATGGCCGAGAAGCTCGCGTTGCCTCAGCAAGTGATCACAAGTACTGCTGAATTGAAGTGGTTGATGTCGGCGACCCGCATGAGACAGAGGCTCACCATGGGCAAACAAAAGTCACTGTGGGCAAAGAAAAGTCTACTCTTGATGCCTAGACGTCGTGGTCATCACTTGCACATAGGGTGAGGTGACCTTGGCCATGCTGGGTTAAAGGAGCGAAATGGATACGATATGTTCCTGATAGACGACCGCGAATGAACACAATTCGCATCAGTGTTCGGGAAAAGTCCAATGGCCCGAGACAGTAATGAAAAGCGCACTCGGCTCCGCCAACAATGCCGCGAGGCATTGGCGAACCATATCTGTAACGCTTTCCCCTGCCCAAATCCGCTCAACAATATTGAACAAGCTGACATATCTAGATGACCGGCATGCGGTGAGGGTCTATCCCCGGGCTGTACGACTGAAGCAGGCCCAAGGGATGGGTATGCCTGGTCGGCTACTGATGCAAAGGCACATTGAATGAACACTAGTCTGGCCATTGGGTCGGTGGGCCTGTACGATGCAATATGCAGAGATATCGGTCGGTCGATCGAGGCCGTCCGTCCTGTTGCAGTGGCAGACGTGGCACGGGGCTCTGAGGTAGGCCACCCTCAACGGACCTCGGTGTGGAGGCTAATCCGCTTATCCTTCCTTTTCAGCGTCCGTCAATGTCGGATAATGATGAGTCGCTCACTGCGAGGATTGAGCGTTTAGTACGAGAAAACAACCAACAGCGAGCGGAGCTCGATCGCCTCCAACATAAGATCACGGAGGTCACCGACATATCCGAAGGCTGGAAAATGAGATGCACGCAGCTAGAAAAGGATCTTCTTAGGGAGCAAAGCATAGTATGCAGCTGGGAAGAAGCATTAAGCAATCTTCAACGCCATGTACATGAAGCACCAATCATCGAGGCAGCATCGAATTTGCCAGGCCAACTGTGAAGACGCTGCTTTGGCTCCCACGGAGGTTGATCGGAATTGAATGAAATATTGGGTTTCTTTGGCAAAGAAAAAGTGACCAGCTAATTACTGCTGCAACTACCAAGCACGTGGTGCGGGGGCACATTTCATTCTTGCAGGTGCCCGCCCCTTGTTGTCTGCCGCTTGTTACTTAGATAACCGTCCGCAGAAAGGTGCCATAGCAATCCAGTAGAGACCTCCCTGTACTACTGTAGTGAACAGACCCGCATATTTTGTTCCCGGGCATGGCATTCAAAGAGACTATCAGCCGTGGCACTCCAGTCGTAGTTATATAAAAGACCACACCGCTGCTTGAGAGTGCAGATATACACAGCAGCCCTTAGCCGAATACCATACCACCCTACAAAAGCAATTTCAGTCAGAAGTCGGGAGCATTGATATCATTAGCGGGGTGGAAGAGCCCACGGTAGATAGAACTTTCGTGGTCATCAATGCCAACGAGAGTGACACCAACTTCGACCACCGTGACCATCCACCGCGAAACTTGAGAGGTGACGACGTTCCTCCATTTCAAAGCACGATCCAATCAGGGCTATGCGAGCAAGCTATAGCTGCACGGCCGCGGACATTAAATGGAATTGATATGCAGTCCTGTGGTCAACTCGATGTTGGTGGCCGCAAGAGTGTCTTGGAGAGCAGCGGCCTACCTCCTGAACCAGACCATTTCGACATGGAGATGCTCCGGCTACTTTCGTTGTATCCGGCGGACACGTCGAGATACCGACGCTTTCGGCACACTGTGCGCCGCAAAGGTGTTGTATTGGTCCGGCATCAATTGAGAATCATGAGCCGTTGTGTCAGCGAAGCACTCCGAGCGTCAGATGGATCAATCAACGGGACAGAATTTGTGCGCTTGGTACTGCGACATCATCCATATTATGGGCAGAATATAACTGCAGCAAACGTCCTAAGACAGCTAATACGACGCCTCGCCAAGACCAATCGTCGAAGCCTACTGAACATTGTGGAAACGGTCATCAGGCACTGGGTCATCCAGAAGGACTTATCAGAATTATCGCTGAATGACAACGACTATACAATTTCACTGCCGTCCGCCTGTGTCGTTCATGTCGATGTGGACAACATCACGAAATCTTAAAGAATATAAAGGGTCTACAATCCTTAATTCCAGCCCTGGCGTTTTCGAGCACATTGTGCTTGGGTGCTATGTACGAAGCTGTTTCAATTCGGTAACACTCTGCGTTTATACATATCATTCGCCATCCTCGTCCTCCGCATACCTAGCCACCACCTCTAATGAGAAGCGCTGGTGCCTTGGTCCTCCTGGACATGCACCACGGGTACAATGACCGCCACTTTCTTCTGTTCGTGTGTCGGTCCGTCCGCGCCGCCCGCTGCAGGACCCTCGGTCATCTTGAAATTCTCACACGTTTCAACCATGTCAATCACACTGTCCCGCATTTTTTGGATCGCTTCCCGAAAGTGGCACAAGCGGGCTTCCTCGTCCCGGCAGCGACGGTTCAACTGGGTGTTTTCGTCGACGAGGCGGGCGTGGGCGACCTGCAACTGACCGTTTTCCTTCTCAAGGCGCGAGCACTTGGCATGCTGCGCGACGTACGATTCACAGAGGCGCCGGTAGTCAGCCAGCAGTCGCGCGTCTTGCTCTGCAAGGACTGGTTTATCATCATCCAGTCGCTGCTCCAACTCGCGAATCGGGGGACAGAATGACTCGACGGCCGCGCCAATGGAAGCAATCTTCTCATCTTTCGATAGCGCTTCCTTGGGAAGTGGCGGTGCCATGTCCTAGGAGGTGTCAGCTCATGCCGAAATCTCGAATGCTGTATACTGTATGCTTGGTGCAACAAGAAGGAAAGTATATACCTTCGACGGCTGCTGGGATGGTTCAACAGCCTTGGACGTCTTGTCGTTGTCACGGTGTCCCAGGCCTGGTCCTGCCCAGTCCTCGCGCTTGCGCTTGACCGGCCGTCCCCGATCATTAAAGTCAGTCATATCGTTTGGTAATGCTTTTGCCGGAATAGAAGAGTGGCCGTAGATGCTTCCGGTTCCCGAACTCGTTGCTTTGGCTCCTTTTATACGGCGAGTACTATAGTGCCAGACTTGCTCAAAACCGTCCCCTTTTGAGTAATCGCATCTGGAAAGCTCGCCTTGCCTGGCCTTGGTCTCGAAGAGCGATTTACCCACCGTCCTCTAGAAACCCTCTTTGGGGATTTCAATCGTGAGCCGAGTTTGGTTCGCCGTGTTCTGGTGATGATAGTTTTGCCCACACCCTACAGCACAGCGACGGTCAAGTCAGACGCGGGCAGTTGCACGGCTGGTGGGTATAATAACCACAAAAAGTTCTTCATTGACCTGGCTGGGGATATCCTGTGGTAGATGCTAGCAATATAGGATTTTGTGCGTCCCGCAAGATCCTTGTGCTAACCATGCCATGCGTTTTGGATGCCCTTGCATGCTTCAAGATTGGTCAGGGTGAGCGTATTCTTGGTTCTTGAGGGTTAGAGCTGGCTGGTTCGCAAGACTCCACGCACTAGAAGTCACAGCTCGCCAGGCATGTGGCCATGACCGGGCCTTGATCTTGGGAGCCGGGTAGAAATGGATCATCCAGTCTCAAGACAATGGGCTTTTTCACTTGTCTAGTCGGTAAGTATCGGCCACTCAGGCCACGTACATCTGAAAACAGAAGAATTAAATACGCATATATATCTAGAGTTACCGCTATTGTGGTCTTAACTGATGACCTCAAATGCTGTAGCAACACAAGCTATCATAGCTAAAAGAAGCATGAGTACTCATACTGTACTAGTATGCGAGTAAACTCAGAGAGTGCAGAGTTGGACGATTCCATTGTTACGAGCACAACCGCCTGGCCCTCAAGATAGCAGTATCCACCAAGGCAAAACACAGCGACAACTTTCTCTGTTCTCCTAACCGACAGGCTCTCGATGACTGAGATATTCTGTATATTCTGTCTTGAGCGCACGGTACAGCCAGTATGTTGGCCACCGTTACCCTCAGTTTACCATGGCTACTGGTTCTGGTCGGCCATATTGCCTGGAGACATTCAGCGGTTCTCCACCTCAACATGGAGAATTGACCCTTTCGTTCTGGCCTTATCCATCCATAGAGTAATCCGGAAGGTCACGTTTGATTCTTCACTCCCTCGCAAGCGCAGTGTTTCCAAGACCACAAATAGCGCAATCACACACAAGACTGTGTCGACGCCTCGAAGCTGGGAAATATGTGAGAATCAAACAAGAAAAAAACCCACTACAAGGCTTATACCCCTGAATGGCGAGCAAAAAACCCTCAGCGGTGGGGCTGGAACTGAGAAACCCCCAACAAACCTTCATTGAGCGTGCCGGTCACCGTGGCCTAGGAACCCATTAGACGCAGGTCAGCGAAACAAAGAAAAATTACCCACTCGACGCAATGTTCTCCATGAGCCCCCCTTAGGACACCTGCGTTGTGGTTTAACAGATGTGCCGCCCCAGCCAAACTCCCCACCTGACAATGTCTTCCAGTAGAACCGGGCATGGTGAGGATGGTATGGATCAAATTCCATAGTAAGAATATGCAAGACCTTCATTCATATTAAATCAGTGGAAATCACCTAATGAGTGGACTCAGCGCTTTGTCATTTCCTGCCAAGCCCTCGCTAGCTATCATAATATTCATGAGACTGTATTGTCCCTAAAACCCGCAAAGCGCCAAAATAAGCTGATTTGATCCATCCTCCCCATTAACATCTCCACAGTATACAAGATAACCCCACCCGAGCCTTGCCCCTGCAACGGCAGCTTGAGTTTGATTCACATAATCTGGAGGGAAAACAAGACTCTGAGTTACCGCGCCTTCAATCGGAATAAAGATCTTTTCCTGACGCTTAGCGTTCTTGACATGAAGAACCTTCATGCTATACGGCCCAGGCAACGAAGCTGTCTCAATGCTTTCGGGCAAGAGGACCGATGGATTAAGCCGGAAGGTTGTGCGATGATAGTCGCCATTTTTCCAGGCAAGGCCAAAGGCCTCGAAGAACCTCCTGAACTTATCCATGGGCGTGAAGTTGGGGAAGTGCAGGCCGACTATAGCAATCCCGCCTTTTTCAACGTAAGCTTTTATTTTAGCCAGCACTTCCTGGTTCTCTTGATCGGATTCGGCAAGGCCTTCGTCTGTTATGATGATTGCTTTGAAGGTGGTCTCGCCGATTATTTGAAGCGCGGCGTTCGCGGTCTTCGCGCGCTTGATGTTGGCCAATTCTGAGAGCCTGCTGAAGAGCGTGCAGTAGACTTCATCGAGAAAGTCGCGATATGCGAGAGAGAGAAGAAGGATTCGGGGTCTCTCGGCTGAGGCCATTGTTGTGACTCTGGAGGCCGCCCGTTTGTAGTTTGGGCCTTAAAGAGGGTGTTTAGTAGAACTTTAAGTAGGTTCAACTAAACATGCTCTTTATATGAAATACAGCCTAACCTTGATGGTCTGGTCCAGCCACTCCATTAATATTACAAGCTAAGCTGGAGGGTGGCTTTGGGATTCCTAAGTCTGCCTTATTTGGTATCCTTGGCATAATCTTAGAGAGGAACTAGTGATTGGTGGCCCCGCATCTTGTGACGTGGTCATCTATTTTTTGACCCATGCAAAGCTGACATTTCCTCTCGAGGTGCCTCCCAACTGTTTATTCCCGTCGGAGATTATTACATCACCCCCTTCTGCGCCAGTAGTTCGTGTTAAGAAGTCGCATGGGGAGAAGGCGGACAGACGGATCTTGCACATGACGACACAAAAGAAAATCAGCTGTGGGCTCCTAACGGAAGTCTCCGCTCTAAGCCTAGGCCAGAGAGGTCGGTCAGCGCAACTTGGCCATGAATGTAAGGGAGTCCTTTGGTGCTGAACTACAATGGTCAACATCCCTGAAACTGCTGCCCCAACTTCTGCGTCGATTGATCGGCGATCCAGCATCTAATCCTCTAGTGAAGCACCTAGGCAGCTCAAAAGTCCATATTGGGCTCTCTTTAAGATATTGTAAGCTTCCAGGCTCCGCCCTAGGCAATTTTGCGCAAGGGGCGGGCGAGGAGACCTGGTGATTTGGTTACCTTCTACACAGGGCTACAGCCTTTGCCTGCGCGCCATTGTTATACCACCTTTTCTTTTTCCTCGAAAAGGAATCACTTAATCGGGATGGCCCGCCTAACCGTTGTGGCCCGTGCGACCGTAGGTTACATCCTACTCCGTAGATAGCTGGCCATACCGGCCACCCAATAGGAGAAACATCCATCGCCTTCCACAATAACGTCTGAGACTCAGACGATGATGATGACGATGGTTTCATTCCTGACCCCACACCCAAGTTGGATCCTAGGTCAGGTGATGTACATAGACAGACCTGCAGCTAGACCTCGCCAAATCGCCGGTTGGGTTTCCACCCCCAAACCAAATCCCGCCAAGAAACACAAATAACGGTAATATATACACAAATTATATAGAGGTATGTGATGAAGTGAGAATAGATTGATTCTAATTCAATATGACTTAACATTAAGGAGAGTTGTCGCTTACAAGGGCTGGAGAGCACATATATATCTGTTCCCATCCCTGCCATAAGGCCTCAGCCACCATGATACTCATTACAGCCACCGTGATATTCAATACTCCCACTCGATGGCGACCACCATCAAGGGTGCCAGCGATAATCCATCGTGGTGGTGAAGGGCCCCGTTAAAACCTCCAAAAAACTTTTAAAGGGAAAAAGAAGGAAAGGGTACCCGTGTGGCTTAGTCCCTCCTCGTAAGCCGGGTGGCGTCACTCAGTGCCAAGCCCTCTCCGAAACCTTTCAAATCGTTCCCGCGGAAGAGGCTTCGTGAACCCATCAGCAATTTGCTCTGTATTTGGGATGTATTTCAGCTGCACTGTTCCAAGGTCTTAGACCTCTCCTTGCCATTTGCGTTGCATTTCGATATGTTTCGTGCGGGAATGGTATTGCGGGTTCGAAGAGAGGGCGATGGCTCCTTGGCTGTTACCGCAAATGATCGTGGCGGCTTTACCTTGACTCATGTTCTACTCATTGAGAAGTCTTCTCAACCAGATTGCTTCTTTGGTTGCTTGTGTCTGGCCTAGAGATTCAGCCTCACAAGTCGAGAGAGCAACAACGCTTTGGCGCTTCGATTGCCAACTGATTGCTCCACTCCCGATCATCAATCAGAACACGGCAAATCGGAAACGCCATTCACGTTGGCAAATCGGACAGAGGGCTTTCAGTGGATAGTGGTTAAATCGCATTCCGGGACCAAGCTCAGGCAAAGGCACTCTCCCCAGATGCGTTGATTTGAGCGTCAGACGGAGTTGAGTTAATCGGCACCATCGTAGTCGCCGCATAAAAGGGGCTACTGCATCGATTTCTGAGACTGGAAGTATCCACGACCTCTCCCCCATTCCAGCAAAGTGTTTACCAAATGAAGTGAGAGACTTCAATGATCGGGGACGGCCAGTGAAGCGCAAGCGCGAAAATTGGGCGGGGATAAGTGTGTGACCAGACCGGCCTTCCATCATTAACAGAAGGCAATCCAAAGTCGGGAAATATACGTAGGGAGCATATTGGCCCCTGCCTTTGCGGACCTCTACTGGACGACGCATCTGATAAGGTAGTCTAGAGATAGTAGTTTACAAGTATGGTCGATTCTCTGTCCTCTCCTGCAGGCTATCAATATCCCTAGCATCTCGAGAGCGGTCGTGCTGCTGAAAAACTTGCGTTAGGTCCCTTTATTGCCACGATAGTAAATATAGTTATAGTAGCCCTACTAGAAGATCTAGGTAATCAGTGGAGGCTCAGAGCGCGTAGTCGCTCAAGACATCATACTAAGCATGAGATGCCAGCGGGCTTCAGGTGTCGCCGGTATTAGCATCCCGGCCCGGATCTAAATATCACTGAGTCTCGGCTGGGGCGGACGCCTGCCCCTTACTCTCGGTATTTCATGTCTCATAGGCGGTGTGTATACTCTTGACATTGCAGAGTCACCGCAGGTGAGCACTAGGCTTGAATGCTGCCATTCATCTTTGATAAACGCGTGGGGTGCCCCACTACGTGGAGACGCCCTGCCTTATGGCATATGATGCTATATATGTATTCGAAAGTGCCTAGAAAACTCCTGATACTGTTGATGGCAAGGCCCTAAACTAGGCCGGTCTCCCCCCCTTCGAAGTAAGGGCGTGAGGCGCGCGCCGTGGGATGCAATGGGTAGGATCGCTCCTTTACAGTTGGCTGATTGTGTGTGGGAATGACTAGCGCTTGCATCGATCGGGCCGTGCTGTCCAAACAAATATATTGCAGTGACCAAGTAGGTCATACCACGTCAGTATGTTACTGTGAGCGGAGAAGTAGGTGGAAGTGAGGGATGGGGCTGAGAGGGGATGTTCACGAAGATTAACTCAGGGTACCATAAATTGGCTATGTACACCCGCGGTTCGGGCTGTGTGAGTACATTCCATGTCGTATTTGGGTTCTCCAGCCAAATTTCTGTTGCTTGGCAGTATGCCTTCTAAGAGCCTAAACTCGCCTTCTGTACCGATGTGCGCGCCCCTTGACACGCAAGCTGTTAGAGAACTTTTCAATCAGTTCAAGAGTCTAGCCTCCACGACGGGGTATGATACTACTCTAGCAGTTTACGATGAAAATGCCAAACTATACGGCCAGCTGAAGTCCAAAGACTCCGAGCTCAAAAACCTAATGGGCGAAATAAACGAGCGAGAGCGAAAGAAGGAGACCGCGCTCAACGAAATGTTCGAGGCCATTGAGAAAGAGAAGGGTAGACACAAAGAGACTAAGGAGCAGGCTTTGTTGCTTCAAAGGACCATTGAGGACAAGGAGAAGCTTATTTCTGAGCGTGACAAGCGCATAGGTGAACTCGAGAAGCAAGTAAAGAAGCTTCAATCGGACAATACAAAGGAGAGGGGAAAGCTGGCAGATTCGCAGAAGGACGTCACTGCTCTGCAAAATGCCAAGAAAGAGAAAGAAGACACTATCGAGAAGATGAAATCGGTAGGTGCTGACTTGAAAGAAAAACTCTCCACCTCGAAGAAGAGGGTCAAAGCGCTAGAGGAACAGGTTTCCATGCTTAAAGGAACACTAGCAACTACTCAAGGGCGCCTCACAAAACTGGAGGGATTTGCCGCTGGGCATCATGAAGTGGATGAAGAGTCATTGTGAGTGCCATATTCATAGGATTGAAGAATCTATACAATTTTAACATCTTCTAGGGTTGAAGGCTTTATTGAGCTTTGGGAGTACGCTAAAACTGAGTTATACCCTCACCTGAACGTGGACTTCCCCAGCGAGACTCTGAGGGTAAGCCGTCTTTCACTTCTCGGAACAATAGAATCAGAGGAAACCTGACATAGCCCGAGGGAATCGGTTGGCAGGATATTTCACCGTGGGACAGGCTCCGACATTGTGACTTGGTACGCGCTAATCAAGTCCCTCTTCCGTGTTCGAACACATCAGTGGCGAAACAGATGCGGTTTTCCGTCATCCTGGCTATTCTGGCAAGAGAGATAGCCAAACACATTTTCCAGCCAACGTACATCGCACCTATGGAAGATTACTTTGAGAAAGCCCTTTCCAACTTGGCCGCTACTAATAGCGAAAAAGAATCTTTTTGTCGATCGATTCTTCTTTCCATCGATCCGGAAACCCAGGCAAGGATATGTCTCAAAAATGTTCAAAGTGCGGTTAATAACGTCTCAGCATACCTGGATGAACTACTTCCAGAAGACCAACGCAGTGCATTTGTTAGAAGCCTAAGCAAAGTTATACAAAAGGCTGTGGATATCTGGAAACCGGTTCAGCGCGCTCAACGCAGATATGTACCAGACTTTGAATCCCCGCACGCCGAAGATGAGTGGGAAGCCTTTACATTTCCTACTGACGAGAACCCCACTACAGAGACAAACGCCAATCAGAAAAGCCCAAATAACTTCTCCTTAACCGTTTTCCCCCGCATTTGTGTGATAGAGAACAACACATGCACTGCCTTTACAACTGTCATACTATTGAATAGCTCGCATTATCAATGGACGGCTGCGGCAACCGAGATAAGCAAAGAGCCACCTAGTCCTACCATTGGACGAGTACTGAGCCTGTGGCACAAAGGCTCAAATAATAGGAAAAATTTGCCTCTTCCGAATGGAGGTCCGACGAAGACGAACAAGGCGTGAAGGATTGGGTGGTATCTGACTAAGATGAAGGGAGGGGGAGCGGTTTGTGGATACGAAGCATACCAGTGTCATTGTAATCAAATTAACGATGTATTCGGGTGCAAAGTGCAAAAGGTCTCTTTGGAGTGAGAGATAGGCGTTTAATCTCCAGTGGACGTTTTCTATCAATAACATGTATGCGTACAAAGCTATGGAACTCCATTGACCTCCTGCTGCTCTCGGACTCCGGGAAGGACTACATCCGATTTGAAGTAGAAAATTTCATATTCGTATTACTGCCATAAGTGCAAGATTATACTGAAGAACAACTGAACCCGTCTAACATTTGAATACATGTGCTCGTGGTTGGTAGACCACATCCGCCAAAGTACCGCGGGTGCGTACTAAACCATTGGCGTAGCCGAGAGCCCAAAAGTGGGAAAATAGAAGATGCATTTGATGCTTCCGGGAGGTGAGCTTCTTCAGACAGTCGAGATCGATTTCAGCCATGCCTTTCTTACTTTGGCACTTTGAGCAATTGCGGAGACTGATCAGTCATGATGCTGGGAGCGAGGCGCATAATTAGTCACCCGATATGTGACGATACGCTGTTACCGTCCATATCTCACAAACTCAAGAAGCCAGCGGACTCGCTCTCACAATAGCGTCATTTCAATTTTAGGATAGCCTTTAATCCCCACTGTGGTCGGCAAGGTATTCACCCGTGAGCTCTACTTTTGACCCTTGTGACGCCGATGGTTATGACTATATTGCCTCCAAAGACATGCCAGAAGCCAACATCGAGATATCTCGACAGAACGACAACATTAACAAAGTAACCCTGTCTGGTGAGTGCAGCTGAATAATCTACCTTTACTTTCCGTCAGTTTTCGCAAGTTGATGATTGGCTTCCCAGAGACTAGACAAATACTGCCAAGTACTCAGTACGCCCCAGTACCACAGTTTGTTCCAGCAATATTGCGCTCATCGTGTTGATCAGCCTTCGTGATTCCAATAAGCCATACCACTTCCTTGGGCCTGATTAAGCACATTGTCGGTAGTCCATGTTGCTGAGACCTCCAAGCCGCAAATTAAATGCTTAATGCAGAACGGATTTGGTATAGCTGATACTCCCCTAAGGTGCGGGGATTATCGACCATTATCCGGATCCCGCTGGATGCTGATGGAGGGGTTTGATATGGTTGGAGCGGCAACTCATATCTCCTTTGAGCACCCTAAAGCTCCTCAGGATAGTCATAGTGCTTATGGTGAGTGCACTTATATGAAGAGATATAGTCGTACCCTACCTATCGCCTAAAGCAGGAGTCGGTGTATAAGTACCCTACTACTACTGCTGCTACTCTGCGTGTGTGCGTGCCAGTCGTGAAATTTCGTATAACAGAAACAGTGTTTTCCGTAGTGTGTAAACAGTCCTGTATCTCTTTGGTCTGATGAGGCTATAATTACTGTTTAAAATCAAGACGAAGTGCAAGGAAGTAGACATGGTCATGAATCTTCTGGCTTCACGGTTCCCGCTCTGAACTATTTGCTGTTGCCGAGCTGCATTGAATGTCAAAAGAGCACAGAAGTTGCTATCATCCTTATGGATGATTGCATTATCACGTATATCACCTTGAGAGAACACTCTTCCCACCGTCAAGTGTAAGCCGCTGCCGGATTCTCACCCGGAGATTGCCATGTCCGAGGCGACATAATGTGGCCTTCCCGTTGCTGTCGCAGGAGCTTGCTTTAACAACCATACTGGGTGAGAACAATATAGCCTCTCCCACTTGTAGATTTACGATCTCCTCAAAAAGAGAAAGTTGTGAAACCGCTTCCGTGTCATGGTTGTCCGTCTTCGATCCACCGAAGGGACTTCTCAACGCTCCTGCCAGATGTTTGTGCAGAATATGCAGCCATTCCGGGGAAGTAAACCGATGCACAATGGTAGTTGAACAAAGATTCAAAAGGGTTGTGGAGACCGTGGGTTCCTGGGTAGAAATGATCATTCGGACCCCCAGATGCCGCTGCAGTCGGACAGCGGACAG